TGTAGAAGCTGACAGCAGCGGGGAAGGAGGGCGGGTGGTGTGAATGCACAGATGGCCACTCAAAGATCATCAGTTACAAGTAAGCAACCTGTTTATCTTTGACGTGGTCTCTGTGCTTCACACCCATGGGAGATTAGCAAGCAGTGGCCTACCTGGAGGAGGGTGCTGACAGGTCCTTACTGCATAGCCGAAGATAAGATGTGACGTCCCATATGTTGGTACTAGAGTTCTTTCGGACGTCTAGGGCGTAGTGCCTTATGAAGGTGTTAGGCGTAGCCCATGTAGCGGCTCTGCAAATGTCTGTCAGGGGAACTCCCTATAGGAAGGCAGTTGAGGCTGCAACAGCTCGGGTTGAATGGGCCCTGATAGGGCCGGGCAATGGCTGTTTGGCGATCAGGTAGCAGAGGCGGATGAGACCCGCAATCCACTTTGAGAGGTACTGAGCCGTGATGCGAGTCCCCAGTCTTGCTGGTACGTAGGAGACGAACAGTTGGGAGTCATGTCTCGTTGGACGGGTTCTGTACAGGTAGAACAGCAGTGCACGTGTTGCATCCAACGTGTGTAACAGTCTGTCCTCTGGGGATGTCGGAGCTGGGAAGAAATCCGGGAGGAAGACCTCTGCCTGTTGGTGGAATTCTGACACTACCTTTGGTAGGAACGAGATGTCAGGTACGAGGCGGACATCGTCTGGCAAAATGGACAAGTAAGGCGTGTCATGTCTGAAAGCCAGTATTTCTCCAACTCGCCTCGCCGAGGTGACAGCAACCAGAAAGGCCGTCTTCCAGGACAGGAATTATAGGTTGCAAGTTGCGAGCGGCTCAAAAGGTTTCCTTGTGAGCTGATGAAGAACTAGAGGAAGGTCCCGGGGAACGGCAGGAGTTTTGATGGGAGGGTAAAGGTGCAACAGTCCCTTCAAAAAATGTTTTGAAAGCGGATGCGAAAACAGTGTGCTCATGCAGGCTAAGTAATTCGTGGTTTTTACTCCCAACACTCCCATGGAGTAGAAGCATCTTCCAATCGTATCTAATTTTCTACTTTCCCTGTCAGAAGGTGCAGAGTGTGTTCGTTTTGACTTGGACAAGGATGTTACAACCATCGAGTTTGGCTGAGGGTGGGAGAATAAAAGTTTGGCTCCGGTCTCCTGGACTCTATACATGTGGTCCAGGTGTCTTATGGACAATGGGGCTGAGAGATATGTCTTGTTGACAAGGCTTCTCCCATGGTGCTTTCGCAGCTTGTAAAAGGACCGTAGACATGGGCAGTGCTATGGTAGTGGAAGTATCCAGTTGCACGATATCGAAGACGGCATCTGTAACCTGTGGTTATTGTTGAACGACTGAGAGGCCTAAAGAATGGGCCATTCTTTTGACAAGATCTGCATAGGAAGTTAGATTGTCGGATGGGGATATAGGTAGATCATCTGCGACAGCTTGGTTAGGAGACTTGTGGTCAGGGTAGATGTAAGCCTCAGAGGCCTCTGTATCAGAATCCTCTTCTGCAGAATTAGAGGAGTCCTGATCTGGCATTTGGACCGGACTGCCTTCCGTTTGACTGGTTAAAAGCTTTGGTGGTGCGACTTGGGGGTTGGGAGGACGATTGAGTTCCGGATTATGGTGGGAAGGATCCTTGGCTGGAGGACGAGACAGAGATGCTGAAGGTCTAGATTTGTAGGGCGACCTTGATCTGTGCACAGATTGGGTCGAGTAACGATCCCAGTCGGAATAGCCCATTGGAGTCAACCATGGCATGGATGGTGGATAACCCCTATAGAGATACCTCAGTTGGCGTTGATCCCAAGAAAGAGGTGTGGGGGGGGTTAGAAAGACTCGGGGGGGATCGACTTATGGATTGGGTACGTCTCAGAGACAAAGCATTAGCCTGCCTCTGAGAGCGGTCTCTATAAACTCGGTCATCGATATCGACAGGTTCAAGAAGCAGACGTGGAGGGTGACGCTGCGTGCTGTTAGAGGCATGTCGATTCCGACGTGAATCGATGTTGGGAGTCTCTGACACTGCCAATGTCGATGACGGGGAAGGAGAGGGACAAGGCTCTGCATCCATGGGACGACTCAGGAGCTCCACCGTCTCGATATCGGAGTAAGGATGCTCCAGTTGTTGTATAGGAGAGTCCAATAGTTGAATGGTTGGTATCGGCGGAGTGGCATGGGCCTCCGATGCCGATACTGCCGGAGCGGGAGGCTCTTTAGGGGCATCAACCAGTGCAGACACCGCTACCTTCCCCTTCTTTGCTGCCTTTAGGGACTTAGAGGAACCCTTTTTTGCGGACTTATGCTCCTTACTTGACTTGGCCCTTTTGTTCACCGGAGTGGAAGCGGAGGATTGCATCTTCGATGCCGGTGGCTTCGATGTCGGAGGAGGGCCTCGATGCTGGAGTCGTCGACGTCGATGGTCTCTCAGACTCCAACACTGAAGGAGGATGTAACACTGATTCAAGTAGCGCCACTTTAAGGCGCGCAGCTCGATTTTTTCTTGTTCTGGTTCGAAAACCTAGCACAGTGCCGACAAGACTCAGGTCGGTGAGACTCCCCCAAACAAATAATACAGAGGGTATGGCAGTCAGGTGGAGCGAGTTTACTGCTGCAACCCTTGCAGCGGTTGAAAAAGCCCCACCGCCATAAAAATTAAAAATCAGAGAGGAAAGAAGGGGTTTGGGGGGGGGGCGAAGGCCAAACTGAGGTAAACTGGCAACTTCCCCCTCAAGAGAAAAACATTTTTTTTTTATTTTTGAAGAACAAACGAAGAAAGGCTAAGAAAAAAGAAGAAAACTGAGGAAAAAATCCGAAGAGCCGTGAGGCAAATAGCCAAGGAAGAACCGATCAGACCGACGAAGAAAAGGTCTTTCCAAAGCGGCGGTAAGAAAGGAACTGGCGGGATGTCCGCGCCCACCCCTCTGGGCATGCGTGGTGGGGTTCCTGCGCATGCCCAACGTCTGGGTGCGAAAATCCGTTAAGAGCTTGCTACAATGCCGATCGATCCAGCGCATGCGCACTAGATCCCATGGGTGTGAAGCACAGAGACCACATCGAAGATCTTAAGTGCCCGAGGCCCTCTTCATATTGAGACAATGACTGGGAGGGGAGTTTAAGCCCCTTGGATCTCTGTCCAAATTGGTCCCCCACACGCCTGAAAATGAGGTTCAATATGGAACTCCCAATACAGGTCTGCTTGACAGGACCAGGACTCATGAACACAGTTAGGTGTAATCAGGCCTCAAATCAGTGGAACTCACTCAATGGCTTTCAGAGAGCCACATTCACAATTATCATCAGCAGACAAGCCATATTTATTTCTGTCTTTGTCACAAGGCCTGTATCTTAGGAAAGGTCGCAGCTTACCCTTTCCAGTGGCAGCGGCTGTTTAAAGGTGGGAACCTCCAGTTACCCAGAAACCCCACTGGGCAAGGGCCTTGCTCACTTTCCTGAAATGTTAGGGGAGTGCCAAACCCCCCAAATTAGGAAAGCCGCTGCGAAGTCTGCAATTGCCTCCTCCTGGAAATCTCCCTCGCCCCCAATTCTTAAGATTTGGTACAGGAACAGATGGGATTATCCCACAATGGAAAGGATACTGATACAAGCCTCAAATACAGACCCTTACTCTGACTTGATTATTATAATAATTTCTGGCACCCTGTTTAAAATGTTATTGCTCAAAACAAAGACCGTTTTGATCAGAATTGTGTTATAGATAGTTTACTATGTTAATTAATTGATACTTGATTATTTGCTGTGACCCTTTGATACCATCTTTCTCCTGATAGGCATAATTATTTGTGGCTTAATTTTTTGCGGTATTGAGCTCTATTGTACTGAGAAGTGCTTACTCTTTTTACTGGAACTTTGTAATGTGATAATCTGTATTTAGCATACGACAGTTCTATTGTCACTGATTTGTCTTTGTGCCTGATGTTGAGTTTTCAATAAAACCTTTAAGGGGGGTGGAGTGCCACATTGGGGAACAGAGCCCAGAAGAGCCAAAGGTGGCAGGTCGAAGAGACACATGTAGCTCTTAAGCCACTGAGTATCGCTGCCTTTAATGTTCCATTGGAGTACAGGATTTCCTCCTTTCATTACTTTACTCACACACTGCTCTGCTGTCAAAGACTACTAGGGGCTCACCTTAAGAACATAAGAGATGCCAATGTTGGATCAGGCCAAAGGCCCATCCAGTCCAACACTCTGTATTACACAGTGGCCAGAAATACCAGGTGCCATCAGGAGGTCCACCAGTGGGGCCAGGACATTAGAAGCCCTCCCACTGTTGACCCCCCCCAAGCACAAAGATGACAGAGCATCACTTGCCCCAGAGTCCCAGAGTACCTTCACTGCATAAAAACTGAGAACCACTCTGATTTCAGCCCTCATGATCTGGAAGCGCCTTCAAAATGGCACTAGAATAATCAGCAGGCCTCTAGCACCCTATCACAGGCAGCAGAAAAGTCCCAAGGAGGGTCATCATACACAAGCAGAAACAGCGAGAACCCTACATATTAGAGATGTGGGCGGAAATTGAAGAAATGCAGCTCACTTCCCCGACTCGGTTTCTTCTTGACTAGG